TTCACTGTGAAAGTCACACTCTGGATTGACATCCCTCTCTGTATTTAATGAATAGCTTTTTAGATTGATAGATTTTATAATACTTTCATGATTTCATCTAGACTCATTACCATTGCCACTGTAACACTAATCTTAAGGGAAATGGTGATCAGCTTCCATGGCTATTTCAGACTATTACAGATTGCAGCTTGGTATTTCTACAGTAAAGGGTCAGCTAATCTAGTTTTCCTCGAAACAGGGTAGCATTTCCGTAGAGCTAGCAGCTTCCACCAATGCTGTCTAGCATTTCATTTAAAATGAAGTCATTCTTTACTATGGAACTGTGTAGAAAGCTTCTACATGCCTGGAAGGAGCTTGTTGTGTTTTAACGGGACACAGTGAAGAAGTATAGATTCAAAATTAGGCTTTAAAAAGCAAAACTTTATAAAAAAATTTTGTCTGGATGGAAATATTTTCATAAGTTTTGAAGCATCAATGGAAATACTGTTGCATTTGATTTTAACTCCTGCAGTGGGAACCTCAAAGACAATATTGCTCCTCTTAGTTCAATAGAACCAGGAAATGAAGTTTAGTTTCATGCTCTGTTTTGAATAAAACACAAAAGGGAAACCAACACCAGAAATTATAAGTAAATTACATTTTTCAAAACATCCAGCTATTAATCATTTGAGAAGGTAGTTTGAAACAGATGAAGATTTTGTGCATATATAATGTTTGTCTTGACAATATATATTTAAGCACTCTTTAAAAGGTTTCTATTATAAATTTGTCCATTCCTTTTTTTTTTTTTTAACTCCAAACAATGACTAGGGCATGACTCCACTGATGTATGCTTGTGTCAGGGGTGATGAGGCTATGGTGCAGATGCTGCTAGATGCTGGAGCAGATTTGAATGCGGAGGTGAGGACTTCTTATTGTGATTGCACATTTGGTTCTTTATGTTTTTATACCTTATACCACCCACTGAAATTGCAGCAGAAATGAAAGTAAAAATAAAAATCTGTTACCAAGGACATTAGCCTTTGGAATGAATGTTGAAGTGATCTCAGTAGTTATAAGACTAGCTTGGGGTTGGGATCAATTCCTCAGTGACCTACAGCCACTGTCATACTCATTAGGATTGCACAGTATAAATTAGCATAGACATTAGCACCAGGACTCCTTCTTTGGGAGTCAGTGTTCTAATGAAATCTGTGGGATTATGTGAATCACAGTTGAGTTAGAATGGAAAGGGCAAGAAAGCCTGCTGTTCAGATATCTGCTGGAGTTTGGGAACTTCTATACATTGGGATGTCCATCTACAGATCCACAGCACACAAATACAATGCAAGTACATTGTTTTGTTTTATAAAATGGCTTGGATGACAGTTGATGGATGAAGGGGTCTTCCAACATGCAAATATCTTTTGTATCTTTTGATGGATGTCCGTAACAGATTTAACAATCTGTCCACCACCAAACAGATTGTTATGCCACTCCATGCAATACAGGTATGTACATTTTGACAGAGCTGTTTAAATTATACAAAATTGTTTGTTATATTTGTAAAGAGCTGCAGTTTCAATTTGTTGCAGTCACAAGTAAATTAAGCTGTCTGGTTCACCTATCTATGTTCCATCTGTTTTGTTTGGATTTGAGAGGTGTTGTTAAATTGTAGCAGCTACCTTCACCCAGACATTTCTTGTTTTTTTATGAAAAGAAGACAAAGGATGCTTTGCCACACCAGAAGCATAACACAGTTTTTCACTTGTAAGTGACGGGCAGTCACTACTGTCTGACTGCTGTTCAGTGGCTTAGATGAAATCAGTTTTTTGAATTCAGGTTAGTTCCTAATGGACCCCCTTACCCTGGCCCCAAATCTTAGCTATAAAGGCAGTGATCACTGAATAATTAGCTTGCCTGCTAGTAGTCTTGGCAGAGACCAGTGATTTGACAGACCTGGAGACTGATCTGGCTTTTAACCCAGGATTGACCAACATCTGGCCTACAAAACTGATCTGATATTGTGTGGCCCTTATGACCAGTTACTTTTCTGCAAAATGCTAACATTCATTAGAAACACAAAGTAAGTTTATCCCTTATGGCTGTGTTGACAACCTTCCAAACATAAATGTAAGGGGTATTGTCTTTCTGAGTCTGATGACACCCTGAAATAGTACCCCAAGGGGTACTCATGACTTTTCCTGGTTCATCCCAAAAGAATGTTAGCTCTTAAATCTAACTATGATGCTTCTGTCCCCAGATACACAAATAATTGAGGTGTGTAATTTATATGGCTAATTTGTGTACATGCTTCTTACAAAATTATGTGCAACTTGAACCATTCATGCATTTTGTGCACATCAGTCCAAAATAGTGTTGGCATTGATGGTGTTAGAGTAATTGTAGATCACAAGTAATCTGGTGGAAGGAACCTACAACATGCATCTTTCCACTGAAGACAAAGGGAGCAGTGGCTGCTCAGCATATCTCAGTATAGGGCCTTCGGGGCACTCAACATTAGCTTCACACTGGTCCTATTGAAGTTGGTGGGAGAAGAGTTAACCCAAGAGAATTTTAATTGGAGAATGCCCAGAAAAACATTCTTGAAAATTCAGGCCTTAGTTGCCGTACAAAGTCATATTCTACCCTCATGCTTTACAAACACTTTTGCTCATGGAAATTCTGATGTAGATTGAGGGCAGTGCATCAAGCTGAATGTGTAGACCTCCTCAGAACAAGTTTGACTTCTTTCCAGGTGACCCCTCTCTGCTGCTCCTGCCCTGACCTTGTTCTGTATGGGATTAGTGCCCAGGGCTGCCAGTCCCACAAACACCAAATTCCATGAAAAGCATATTTTAAGACAATGGTGCAAAAACTTCCAGCCCTGTGGCCCAAATGAGTGGTGCAGTGCCAGTCTGCAGACTGGATCCCATGGGTGGGGTCAGTCTGTGGGACACATCCAGCATGGGGTTGGTCCATGGGTACCATCTGGCATGTTGGCCCAGCCCCACATGCTGGATCTGGCTGTAGAACCACCCCATGTGCCAGCTTAGCCCCACGTGCCAGATGCAATCATGGTGTGACCCTGTGCACTGAAGAGATGTGGTACATAGGGCTATGCTGTCCTGCCACAGGGCTCTCAAGGGGTCCAGAAATGTCGTGGCAGGGGAGCTGTTGTAGCATAAATTGTTTTCAGGGCTGCAGCAATTAACACTGCCATTGCTCCTCTGCCACCAAATTTCCGGACCCCTTGGGAGCCCTGTGGGCTGAATGACAGCCCCACGGGCCACAGGCTGGAGGTTGAGTGCCACTCCTTTCACTCATTTTTAAGAGAAATAAAAACCTTTCAAACCCTCTCTTTTCTTCTGAGTTTACCATACGGGGCTCCCTAACAACATTTTGCCACTTTCAGTCCATGTGAAAGGGGCTGGAATTAGCTGAGTATGTGGTTAAATTTAGGGTCTGCTTTCTCCTGATCCTGACCTGTCTATTTGCATAATCCTGCTCACTACCCTGCAGTCTGGAGCTGCTTGAGCCCCTTCTTCCAGAGAACTCCCAAGCGCCCAGAAGTTTGACTTTAGACTTCAGCATACTTCTCCTAGTGTTAGAACTCAGAGTGCACTAGACTCAAACAGTCAGCAGAGGAGAGAAAAATTATTTCAAGCTGTTCCTTTGGCAGAGATGGATGACAAGGTCGACTGTCTGGTGCAGCTCTCCTCTGCTGGCAGGTTTGCTGGTCACACCATCTATTCCCTCCCTCTCCTCTCCCCTGATGTTAGTCCTGTGAAGAGCTGATCATATGCTTCTATCAGAAACCTGTGTCAGAGTATCAGTCTGGTTGGCTGCTGCTGCTACCAAGGACACCATGCTAACTGGCCTCACCCTGTTTTGTGGGTAAAAATGCCTGTGGTAAGGGGTAGACAGCCTGGCTAATGGTAGACAGGGTGCTTCTTGTGCTCCAACTCCAGGCCTCCTTCCAACACTGTCTTTCCAGGAATTAATACTACTAATAATAATAATACTTAGCACCTCTGTGGCACCTCTTCTGAGGATCCCAAAGTGCTTTACAAACTTCCATTCACTTTTCCCATCCCTGTGAATGACACCAATCTTACAATCTCCCATTTTAAAGAGAAGGAATCAGAGTCACAGGGAAATTATGGGAGTTGAACAAGGTCAGGATTCAAGGCTTCAGATACTGAGGCAATATGAAATGGATAATTTTTGTTCATTTGTCTAAAGAAAGCAAATTTATTTATTTGGAGTCTAGCAACCATTTCAGTTTAACTAAGATAAAGGAACACAGCAACCTAGATGTTTTTTAAAAATTCTTCCAAATTCTGCTTTTCTTTTACCTCCACCAGAGGGGCAGTGACATATGAAATATGTCTTTATACTCAAGGCCAGAAGTGAAATCCTGACACCACTGAAGTCAGTGGAAAAAGTCCCATTGACTGAAATGGAGTCAGAACTTCACCTCAAGGTCCTTTGGAAATCTTAAGCAATTGCAGGATCAGGGAAGAGACCTGATATAAAGCCCACACAAGTCAAAGGGGAAAAGTGTCAGTGGGCATGTCTACACGTTCATTAATATGCAGTGCCTACTGTGCATTTATTTAATTTAGTACTTGTGTAATTAAGTACTAAGTAAATGAGCAGTAGGCTGCTGTACTGTGCATTAGCGCGATCGTGTGCTTTTTGCTGTGCATGCTAATGTGCAGTAGAATTAGTCTACTGTGCATTAAACGTCTTGTGTACATGCGCCCAGTATCATACAACAGTGAAAATGCCAACTCTACTAAAATATCTGGTGGCCAGTGGTTTAGAGGGAGCTACAGCAGTTGGTAAAGAGACTTCACTTGATATAAGCTTTAATCAGCATTTCAATAAACAGTATGGAAATTTGTAGGGGAAGTAAAGTTTTGATGGTTAAAAACATATTTGGAACCAATCATTTTACAAAATGCCTTTTGCACCTTTTCTTTTTCACTTATACCCCCTACCCTGCCCTTTTGAGCAGGTTGAATTTTATTACTTCAAGCTCTTTGAAAGCCATTTTAAAAGAAAATAACTTTAATTTGTTTATAGGTTGTCAGTACTGCTCATAAATATCCATCCGTCCACCCCGAGACCCGCCATTGGACAGCTCTGACATTTGCTGTGTTGCATGGACATATTCCTGTAGTTCAGGTATTATTGTATTTCCCTACCTACATCTCACTTTTTATTTATCCCCATGAATTATAATCTGTGTCCATCTCAAAACTGATAACCACTGTCCTATTTATATTGGTTGCTTCCACTTCATACTTTCTTCATTTTACTGTTATATAATATACTTATTATATAGTGATCTCTATGTCCAAATCTTAACCAATATGAGGTTAAACTAGGAGAGTTTTTAAAAAAGAAAAGTTGCACCAAAGAAAGTCTGTCAACTCCTCATGCTCCTTCCTGACCACTTGTTGTGTGTGTCTGTGTGTTTGTTCATTCATGACTCTTTCTTACCAGCTGTATTCTAATACTCAAATAAATGAGAATTATGTTATTTCTGGGGGAAAAAATCCTCTTCCATTCTGTTCCAAAATCAGAGAATGCTCAGTAACCATATACATGGAAGAAATAATATGTGTACATACTGGTTCCCTTCTTTTTGTATCTCATGTGTTGAGATGGCTTATTTTTCAGTATAACTGAGTCTGTGGCATGATTAATGATGCTGCAGAACAGTGGGAGATCTCTGGTAGTGTTTGCCTACAGGCAAGGCAAATGCATTCCATTGGGTTCCATAATGATGTCCTTGGCCAGCCTCATATTGAATAGTGCTTGCAGAGACCATGGGTTTTAGGACTCATTGCTGCAACTTGTTCCGAAAACTCTCTAGATTCTTCTGGCCATATCTGTACATTTAAGATGGTGGCACCTGGAATCTCATCTGTTTTATGAAAATTACTTGACTGTTGGGCCCCTGGCAAGTAGTCAGTGAGATTCTTGGTTGGGCAAAGTGTGAGTATGTTCATGTATCTAGTGCATTATTTCATGCAACTGATTTTTCTCCATTTCAAGAACACTGAGTAATGTTATTTTTGGCTCTGGCATTGGACACTGCTTCTCCGGGTGTCTGATAGAGTCAAATGAGTGAAATAAAGAGTTGAATGGCATCTCTGAAATAGCGACAAAATTTGCACATCACCTGTCTTCACTGCATCTGGTTTGTGGCTGATAATAAGCACAACATTCTAGTTCCTCAGTCTTTTTAAACTCCAGACTGTCTTTTCACCAGTGACACTAAATGGTGAATGTTCTTTATAGCTGTTGCTGGATGCTGGAGCAAAGGTAGAAGGTTCTTTGGAACACGGAGAGGAAAATTACTCTGAAACGCCATTGCAGTTGGCAGCAGCTGCAGGTAAGAACTTTTTCTTCCCACTGTAGTACATTTTCCAATTGGGAAATGCAACATAGATGAGAAAATCTTGGACTTAAAAAACCCCCAAAAATACAACACTTCTCTTCCCTTACAGGAAATTTTGAACTGGTTAGCTTGCTGTTGGAGCGAGGCGCTGACCCCATGGTAGGAACAATGTACAGAAATGGAATTTCCATGACTCCACAAGGTGACATGAACTCTTTCAGTCAGGCTGCTGCTCACGGACACAGGTAGAGTGGGAACAGGTCCAGCTCCATCATTCAGGCGCTTACAGTTTTCACGGGTGGCTAGCTTGAGTAGATTGATTCAGAGCCTGTCCTGTTAAAGTAGAATACTTGCTCTGTGGATGTGAATTGTGTGACAATTAAATGTGCCACTTCTTGGTACAAGAGACTGAGCTGAGAGTTGAGGTTCTGTGTTGGCGTATGAGTTTGATCAATTTGGAGTGTGTGTGTGTTTTTTGGTGTCTGTTGCAGGTGGAAGTGAATGCTGCCGATTTTTCCCATCATTTCTCATTTATTTATTTTTGGTGGGTTGTATGTAAACTGCTGCAGCCTTTCCTGTCATAAAACAAAGTTTTTGTTTGTGTTTAGCATTTTGTTTGCATTAACATTAGGTATCTGTAATGCAGACATTGAATTGGGGCATGTTAGCAATTAAAAAAAAAATGAAATGGACAATCAATGTCCATGGTTGGTTACTCTTGCAAAGTTAAGGAACAGATTACAGCATAATGGATTAGTATTTTGATCTTCACATTCGTACTTTTCTAATTGTAGCCATCCAGAGGAACATAGATACAGGTTAGAGACAGTACCTACAGTATTTCTGCATAGAGAAAAAAAGCCACCAGTCTAACAATACATTACCTAGAAGTCAGGGCTGGTTCAAACAATGCTTCCCATCTGCATCCAAAGAGGGGTCCCAAGACCATGGAGTTGAAAGAACTGTGACATTTACTGTACAGGCTTCAGTGCCTTGTGGCATGGAGTGGGAGTAGCATTTGCTGTCAGGACATTCAATGGTGTTGTGTTCCTTGGGAAGGCAAGGCATTTCCTCCTTTATTATGGCCCCATCATGGAAACATCCTACCTCTCCCATGTTTGCCAAATAGGAAAACTCCCTCAATTGTTCTTTTTTGTGTGTTCTCAATTATTTGGGACATACTACTTTTTCTGTGTATCGCCTCCCCTTTTCCCCCCGCTCCCACCTGTCCTCCTCCTACACACAGACCCCCTAGACCCTGAGCATGGGCATCTTCCAGAACATAAGAGCATAAGGGAGGTGAGAAAGGGTTGGGGAGAAGTTGCATAGTGGGTCTGATTTCTCCCCTCATAACAGTATCAATTGGGAGTGGTTGTATTAAGGTCAATTAAGTTATATTGGTATAAACCTGGTGTGAAGGGAGTATCAAGCCTAATGCTTAATTTTTGACCTTGCAACAGGGGAACCAAATAATTGGCTTTGCAGTGGATCCCAGATGTGCTTGAACCTGCCCTGCCAGGTGTAGTTGAATGACTAGTAGCTTCAGCTTTACTGAGCCTGCTTTGATTGTTAATTAACAGCAGTGGTGTTTTCAGACCCTTTTTGAGTTTGGTTTATATGCGTTATTTGCTATTATTTAAGAGCTATGGCTTGAGCATCAGTTTCTGTTTTGAGAAGATTTAACCATACATATGGGGGTGCACCGATAGAGATGTTGGGGGACAATACCAATAGCCGATTTTTAAGGAGGCATATTGGTCGATACTGAAATGATTTCCCATAGAGCTGAATACAGCTGGTAAGTTTGTTGTGGTGGAAGGGAAGCGGGGAGGGAAGGGATGTGGGGGGAGCAGATCAATGCCCCCCATGGTGAGGGAGGGGGCAGGGGCAGGCACTGCCGGGGTGGGGTGGGGTGGGGTGCAGGACAGAGCTGTGGCTTGTGTGGGCGGGGGCAGCTCCCATGGTTGCTTGCACCATGGCATGAGGGGTGAGAGGCATGTGCCCCCAGATCTGTGCGTGGTGAGGTCAGTGGGCTGGAGCCAAGGCTGCTCTGGGCTCTTCTTGGTGGGGGCTGGGCTCAGGGCAGGTGGCAGCAGCTCTGGGAGGGGGGCTATAGAGGGGGGTGCAGCCACCCCAAATTTTGCTATAGCCTCCCCATAGTCCCCCCTCCCAGCTCCGCTGCCACCTGCCCAGCGCAGCTCCGGCTCTTTCTGGCACATGGGTGGAAGCAGGGCGTTAAGCTGGGGCTGGGCTCGGGGCAGCCGGTGGCGGCGCTGGGAGGGGACTATGGGGAAGCTACAGTGAAATTTGGGGTGGCTGCAGCCCCCTCTGTAGCCCCCTCTCCCAGTGCCACTGCCACCCACCCCAAGCCCAGGCCCCACTGAGAAGAGCCCAGTGCAGCCCCGGCTTCAGCCCATAGCTGCAGTCCACCTGCCCCACACAGATCCGGGGGCACACGCCCCTCCCTCCTGGGGTTGAAGCAGCAGCAGGAGCCACCGCCCTCACCCCACCCCAGATGAGCTGCAGCTCAGTCCCCTGCCCTGCCCCACCCTGGCTGGGCAACACCTGCCCCTTTCCTCCCCCCTTCCCCTTCTACCACAACAGACTTTCCAGCTGCACGCAGCTTTCCATGCTGCCGGGTTCTTCTCCTCACTGCACTGTGCTGCAGCTGCGTGCACTGGCATTTATCGGCCAAATTATTGGCCACATCGGGCCAATTTCCGATACAGCCAATTTTCTTTATTTCGGTACCGATCTGATATCGGACCGATGTATCGGTGCACCTCTACATACATATGACATTTGTAATCTTGTGCATATTATTATAATAATGGGACCAATGTTGCACACGTGATGCAGGCAGTTCTCCTGAACTTGGAGGAGTTCTGCTTGCCAAAGGACTGCAATGATTTGGCTTTACATAATTAACGTGGCTTAGGACAATTTCTAATTGGCCAACTAGACAGGCTTCCAGTCTGCCTAGTTGCAGAATGTCTCTTAGCCAGAAAGGAAAGTATGGTTACTAACTTCGACTTTTTCTGTCTCCTTTCTCCTCCCCATTATATTGTAACTGACAGGAACGTGTTTCGTAAACTGCTTGCTCAGCCAGAGAAAGAGAAGAGTGATATTCTTTCCCTGGAGGAGATCCTGGCTGAGGGAACTGACTTGGCAGATGCAACACCATCTCCTCTGTGTGCCAGCCGCAATAGCAAGGCCAAACTGAAGGCACTGAAGGAAGCTATGTATCACAGCGCTGAGCATGGATACGTGGATGTAACTATTGACATAAGGAGCATAGGTCAGTTTTGAGGTGTTCTTCATTTTTCCTCCCATGAGAGACAGCTGTCAAATATGTGTTTAGAAGGGAAAGATGCCTGTTGCTTATAGTGACCACATTTGAATGTCCCTGAGTTCCTGCCAAGTAACAATTGTGTGAGATTTTGATGAGTGTCTAGGACTGAGGAAAGAGCAGGTGAGTAAACCTGCATGAGCTAGGTTTAAAGGTGTGATTCTTGGAACATCCATTAGGTGGGATTTGTCTCAGTGTTGAGGAACCATGACTGAATTAGATGGTTTTCCCAACATGGCACAGGTTTTGCCTTCCTCTTTGCTAATGTGCATGCCTAATTTCATAAACTATTGTGACACTGCACACTTTTTTTGCAAGTTTCTTTTTAGTTTTGTTCAGTCCTGCACGAGATCAAAGTCTCAACTGTAGTCTTCGGTTTTGCATAGCTCAAGCAGCATTTTGCGAGTATTTGGTATTCAGCTCCCAGTATGACTGGATGAAACAGTTGTGCTCCTGCTTTTTGTTCTGCATTTTCTGACAGAAGTAGCCTGATCTTGGCTGTACAGGAGGGATTTTGCCTTGATTCAAAGCGTTTTGTTCAAAAGCTCAGCCTTTGAATGTTGGTACCTCCTGTCCTAATCAATGGTATAAGTTAACATTAGCAGTGTATTGGAAAAAACAAACACCCTTTATATAGGCTGGTTATAAGCACAGATGTTACTACACATTGTATTGGGTATTATTTTTTAGGTTTGCAAGTTACTAGTACATGACCTATGAGCAGCTCTAGCCACACATCCCCCTTCTCAAGGGGGCGATGAAGAGACCCTTTCTTTTACAGCATTCAGGAGCATAGCTGGTACATTATAACTTGTTCATTAAAAATGCTTCATTTGTTAGGCTCTGGCAGCTTGTGCATTCCAGGAAATGCCCTGAGACCAACCTCATGTGAACTATTGGGACAGACGGGAAAGGTCAGAAATGACCGCAGCTTTAACAGTTTTTGCTAATAATGAGAGAGCCGTTCCTAATTTGGTCTTTGAGAGGCATCCATACAAGAGTTAGACCAGCGTTTCTCAACCCCTGGGTCATGACCCAAAAATGAGTCTCAGGAATATATGAAAGGGTCACGAACAAACTGTAAAAATGGATCAACAAACTTTAAAAATGGATTTTCCTTTAAAGGAGACAAACATGGGAAATCGTGGCTTTTCCTATGTGGGCTGGCAGAGTTCCAGCCTGCAAGGGGCTGTTTGGGGCTTCCCCTGCACCACACACTGCGGCGCTGATGCCTGGGGGCAGTGGGTTGGGAGTGAGGGGCACTGAGTTAGGACTGGCCATCGATGTTTACAAATGGGTTCTGGTACAAAAAAGTTTGATAACCCCAAGTTAGATGTCTCCAGGCCTCATATCCGGAGGGTGCTCTCTGTTTGTTCTCCCTCTTGGTCTGTTCTTCCACTAGACATTGTTAAGAATCCTGCAGGTCCCTTGGCCTGGTGTCAGTTCCAGAACACCCCTCACTGGGAGGCCGTCTATGGTTTTCTGCATTGACACAACAGCTCATGCGGTCCACCTCAGCTTAGCTAGATGCCCAGCTGAAATTTGGCTAGTGCTCTGGCTGTTGACACTTGCCTTTTCAACCACCTTGCTGCATCCAAACACCACATTCCTCCACCCTTGGAATCCATTGCTCCAGACCTCTTCCCCTTCCTATGGCTTATAACTCTCCAAAGGGAAAAAAGCAGTGAATGTGCTACTTAGTGCATTAATCATACAGCTGTGCCACCTGAGCATCACAAAGTGATCCCAGGAATTTGCTGCCACCTTTGCAGGGAAGGTCAGCCCATGCAAAAGAAAACGTCTGACTCTGGGTGTTAACTATATGGCATGTATAGACAAAACGAGGGGCATGTGTGCATGACACTTTAAAGCGGGTTAAATGCTTTTGCACTGTTTTAATGGTGTTGGCGTTTGCACGTGTCAGTGGCATATAGCGCATTAATTCCAGCCGCCGTAGCACATTCGGCGGCATAACGCACCTTAAGTGACTTTGGGGCGCAGCAAACTAAAGCACCTCGAAAGGGTTGTAGTTTGCTGCCCTACAGCCGTGGAGTGAAGCACCAGGCTCCGAGTGACTCAGGGACTGTGCAGGCAGCCCAGGAAGGCAGGCTCCACTAAAGAAAAAAAAATAGTGGTGACCCTGAATTTTTTTTTTTTTTCTTCCCCCTGGAGCCTGCCTGCCTGCAGGAGCTGTGCGGGAACCTGATCCTTCCCTCCATGGCTGCAGGGCCCCCCAGGACCGCCCAAGCTGGGTGCCTGCATGTGGGTGCCGCCTGGGGGGGACTGCTGCTGCCACAGAGGGAGGCACCAGTCCTGTCCCCCCCCACCCCACAGCCCAAGGACCTCTCCACCCCCTGGCAGCTCGCCCTCCCCTCTCTACCACCAGAGAGGCAGGTAAGACATGGGTGTATACAACACAGGGAGTTACTTCACCTTAAATTGAAACGGTGTTTTTAAAAACCCACTGCTTCAATTTAGGGCCCCCGTTTCATCTACACATGCCCTATTACTACATACATGAACCCATGCTCAGTGAGAGACCAAACAATTTCTTCAGCAGCCATCCTGAATCCAGGTGTTCTGCCACATGGATCAGGGTTTCCAGACTTAGGTTGTCACATAATTGCTGGTCAGTTAGTCTCATCTGGAAAGATAAGTAAGCAAAACATCTTCCAATAAGTAAATACCCTTGTAAGGGAGTAAGGCTGTGAAGCCCTTTATGCCCAGATCCAACAGCCAGAGATGAGAAATAGAATGTTTGATTTTACCTCTCTGCAAATCCATAAACTGGGCCACAATCCTGACCTATGGTTTAGAGAGTCAAAGATTTTTGTGGGTGATATCTTTTATTGGACCAGCTACGTAGTTTGGATAGACTTAGACAAGCTTTCAAATGCAATGGATTATTCTTCAGTTTAGTCTTCTGCTGTGGTATAGACTAATTTATAAGCATTCTTCTACTGCACATTTCATAGTTTCATAGTTTCATAGTTTCAGGGTCGGAAGGGACCTAATAGATCTTCTAGCCCGACCCCCCGCCAGGGCGGGAGAACAACCCAAAAACACAAACAAAACCACTCACCCTAAAAACAAAAACGGGACTCAAATGAGTCCAGCCAGGTAAGTATCCAGCCTCTTCTTAAAGATCCCCAGGGTAGGGGCCAGCACCACCTCCCTTGGAAGTTGGTTCCAGCTCCTAGCCGCCCTGACTGTGAAGTAGTTGTTTTTTTATAGTCTGTTTTGTGGTAGCATTTCCCTTTATGTTCTCAAAATGCAGTTCTTACACAGGTGACTGTAAAAGCAGGAGTGCCTTACTCTCATGAAGTGATCTCTGCATTAGTGGGAATGTGTGGTTCAGAGAGTGGTGACAGGGGGTACATCTACATGAGACATTTATTGTGAAGCTAATTAGCTCCACAGTAAAGTCTCAGTTACATGTGCAGCCCTATTAGACTGCAGTAAACTATTTAACTTCATCATAGGTTAGTACTTGTAAACACAAGTACTGTCCTATGGTAGTGTTTAGCATGCTGTAAAGCACATGGGGCACGAGGGTGCTTCAGTGCAGGAGCTGCCTGCTGGCTAGCCCCACTCTGGAGCACCCTCCTGCTCCAGCCAGCCCCTCCACAGCACATTGAGCCAGGTCAGAGCAGCCCCGGGACCTCTTGACAGCTGGTGCTGCTCCAACCCGGCTCAACGTGCTGCGGTCCCAGGTGCACATGTAAACATAGCACCCGGGAGCAATAAACACTGGCACAAAGTGTGCCAGAATGTATTCGGCTGCACTAATAGCACATGTAGATGCATCCAGGGATGTAAAAGCTTTTGTCAGTAGGGAAGCAGTTTAAATTGAAGTAATGGCAGGTAGTGGCTAACAGCTTTTACCATTGGGTGGCTTGTTGATGACCCCTTTGAAACAGCTGTAGTGGAGTAACCCATCTCCCAGTGGTGTCCATGTCACAAGTTGCCACTGAAATAATTCTTAACTGGCAGTTTGAGCAAGAGACTGAAGGCTAGATGGTCACAGAATCACTTGCCCTTGGTGCTCTCTCTCTGCAGGTTAAGCCTGACACCTGCTGATAGCCATTGGTCTGCCTACATGAAGTTAAATAAGAGTTCACCCTTCACAAGCCCTAAATTCATGCAATTAAAGAAAAAAAACTAATAGCAACCCTCCCCCCACTATTCATGGGCAGTTTGGGGTGCACACACTCCTCCAGCATGTATCTTTTTTTTCAGGTGTTCCATGGACACTGCACACCTGGTTGGAGTCTTTGCGAACATCCTTTCAGCAGCACAGAAGGCCTCTCATCCAGTGCTTGCTAAAGGAATTTAAATCCATTCAGGAAGAAGAGTACACTGAGGAACTCATCACACAAGGCTTGCCCTTGATGTTTGAAATACTGAAAGCAAGCAAGGTATGTGCATTTTAAAGAACTTAATACCAGAACCCCTAGCCTCTGGGAATCCGGCAATATAATTTTTACACTGGTTTTCTGAAGCTCATTTATGCCCTGTGCTATATTTCATATTCATGTCTTGATTTTTTCAACTGAGATGTTGATAGCTGAGCCAAGTAAGGGAGGAACTTGGCTTTCTAGGGCTTTGCAGCAGGGCTCATACTTGTATTTATTTTGGATTTTGTGAGCCAGTTTTCAGTTATCATCCTCTCTAAAGCATTCTTCACCTAACAGGGAATAGTAGCTGGGGACTCTGTACTAAGTAGTTTCCACCTACTAAATGCCCCCCGCCATAGATGCTCCACCCCCCAGGTCCCTCCTCCCCCCCACACACACATAGCAATGTACCTTCCCAATGCTCCAGCAAAACTCATTTAGGTATATCTTCCATGCAACTGCTCCCCAAGTGTCATTCCTTCAATGTAACTTTTTCTTACCTCAACAATCCAAATAACAAAGAGCTTTTTGCAAAATGTATATGTATTATTGGCATATATGTATTATAGACAAAGAGAAACATAAGGAACAATCATCCAAGGAAAATGTAAACATCTTCCCTTGCTGGAGAGCTAGATATTTTCTTTTCATACTTGATCCATTCAAGACTAGCTTTCCTGCTGCTCCCTTCATCTTGAAAATACCACCCGTCCTCTCCCAGGAAGCTCAGAAAAAGGAATTGGATTGGACTCTAATACATGCTTCTGCAAAGGCAAATTAGAGATGAGGGCTTGTTACTGAAATCATCTCCCTCCTAGCTCCTAGGAACTTCATCTCTGGGATTAGTTTGTATTGCTGTGGGGAGTTTCTGCAGGCAATTTATAGGAAATCATTCTGAATCCTGGGGACTCATAGACTTCTTGCTCTGTATAGTTGCTTATTTATCCCATACCTGGCAGCGAGGCACTCTTCAGTGTGGAAGCTGATATAAAACAAATTAGTTTGAAACATATATGGAGGTTAGATTTAAATTTTGTAACCTGGGGTGGGGGGGAATAATTACTGTTCTTCTGGGTGACTGCAACCAAGGCCAGAGAGTTAACCTATGCGCAGCTTTAAACAAATGTATTTAACTAGAATTATATCCCTCAAATATGCCAGAAAAAGCCTTCAAGTGTCTCTTCCTTGTAGGAGGCACTGCAGCAAAGTATAACACACTTATTTTTGCTTTGGGTACAATTTAAAGCCAAACTGGTGGGGGACTGCAGGGAAAGCAGTGGAAAAAGATAGATAATATCATGCTGTCCTTTGTTCTTGCTTCTGCATCTAGTGGAATACCTGCCATCCGTCTACATGCAGGCATGCATACCCACATGCGCGCGCACGCACACATATATTATTTTATATTCTTAGCTGTACAGTGAATCATCTTGAGGCCCTGCAAGAATTTACATGATGTGCAGATGGTAAAAGTGATTGCCATGGCCTTCTCCAAATGGCAAACTAGGAACCTCTCTTGTACAGAAACAAGGATAGGCTATCTATAGTCTCTTGGAAGGAAGTGAAGATCCTTTTGAAGCCTCCTCTCAGAAAGATTCAACAAAAAGGGCTCAATTTTCCCTGCTTACTGCATGAGGGCCTGGAAGGGAGCATATCAGGTCAAGAAGTCCCGTACCCAACTTGCATTCTTCCTAAAAAGCTCAGTTCAGAGACTCAGTGAACCTTCAGAGATGGAGAATAACACAGGACTGCCAAAAGAGTGTGACTGTTGTCATGACATATTCTCCCTGCCTCCCCACACAACCAGTTCTTAGGGCCATGTGATTGCAAGGTGGGAGCATGACTTATCCAAGAGGACATGGACTCTTCTCTGTCCTGAGAGCTCAGAGACAGGCTATGGCTCCATTTGACCTGAACATTTGCTTAATGAGTGTTTGAGATTAGGAGTAGGGTGGGAGTTGCCATTAAATAAGTAACTAGAAGGTAATTGCTTATTTTCTTGTCTCATGTAAAAGAAAATACCCCACATGATGTGCACTACAATGCTCAGTATCTTTTCTTTGCTTAGCAGTTTGTATTTAATTGTAACAAAGCTTCACACTTCCATAAGTAGTTCCTATAACAACACACTCTGCAAACATTCAGGCACCGAGACTCATCATGACCCAGAAAGGGCTAAACCTACAAAAGTTAGGGGAATGCCTTTACCTACAAGTGAGTTAGACAAAAGGAATGGAAATTGCTTCTTATCTTCCTTATGCAACTTCAACAATATTTTAAAAGGCCAGTGCCTTTAGGATTTCAGGATTCAGTTGGAAACGTTCCCATGGGAAGTTTGTAGCCAGCCAGCACTGATGTTAGAGTCTTGCTGGCTGGAAGGTTGGCACTTTGCCCCCCACCCCCCTTTAAATGCTGGAGCACTGCTGCTATCAAGTAAATAAAGGATATTTTTGGAAACCATGACACTAGAACAGAAAAGATCAAATAAAATTTGGCAAATCAAGCAAAACAGGTGTGTGTGATTGAGGTAAAGACTCAGACCACATTGCCTCTCAGAGACAAAATCAAAGGAGAAGAACTATTAGTAAAAATCACATCTGACTTATTTGGTTCTGAGATCACTAGGAAAGAATTTCAAAGGCACAAACAGGTGTTTAGGTACCAAATTGCCTTTGATTTTGCTGATTTTCCTTCATGCTTTCAAATTATTCCCCTCTTAATCAAATGCATCAGGGACATATAATGCAGGTACTAGGCAGCAGGTTGAGAACAAAACAAAAGGAGGTTATTTTTTGCACAGCATGAAATTAAGTTGTGCCAATCAGCTGTGGGGGGTGGGGCCACCAGGGCCCCACAGCCAATCAGTGTGGGGCAGGAGGGAGGAGCTGCCATGGTCTGCCCACGAAATCAGCCGGCAGCTGCTTCAAGTTGGGTAGAACCCTAACACAGTTTTAAGAAAATCTCAAGAGGGCCAGAAACACTCATGGTGCTAAACCTGTGCTTAGTTGTGGTTCTCCAACAGGGTCAGAGCAGCCCTGGACTGGCAGGCTGACACAAGTGCATGGATGACCAAGAAGTTAAGCTGGAGGATATGTAAGCTAGATGCATAGTACACCAAACTGGGTGTAAAAAGGAGGAAAATGGATGGTTGGTCTCCCATAGAAAATTTCTCTTCCACCTCCTTGCAGCATTATGGCCTGGTATTGATGAGTTTAAAAAGGCAGTCTATGATTATGGGTTTGTATTAAAGGAGATAGTGTGACAGACGTCAAATTGTCCCGTGATGGCCCTAGATTACGTGGTAACGTAGAGCCCCAGTGCAGTAGGGGGAAGGTCCAGGAATAGCTGTCTCCCTAAGCCAGGAGCCATATCCCATCAGGGCATAGCACATGTTCCTTTGCACTGGGGAGGGAGGAAGGAACATCATGTCAACCTACTTTTCTATTTTCCGTTGAAGCTGTTTGTTAATAGACAACTGGGGTTTTGGACAAAATGAAAAAATAAATCCTGGAAAATATCAGCTCTCCACAGAATGTGACCAAAGTTTGTTGACAAATCAAATGTTCAAAACCTGAAATGCTCAAGAATTGACATGTTTTGATTTGAAAATGCTGCCCCAGTACCTCAGGAGAGTGGTAGGTCTGGTGTCCTCATTCTCTTCTAGGAGCCAGACTCCCTGGGTGAACTGCATTGCCCTTGATACCCAGAGCCGGCCTTGGGGAAAATGGTACCCTGGGCAAACTTGTATTTTGGTGCCCCACACGAGCTCCCCCCTCCCACATACATTAATGGCACTGCTGCAGGCAGGGGCACAGTCTGGCAGGGAGTTGGAGCAGCACAGTGTGCCAGAAAGTCAGGTTGGCAGCAGCTAGATGCAAGGGGGTGGGTTGAGCTGGATACTACACCTCCTGCTTGGGGGAAGAGTGGGGTCGAATCGGCTAGGGCAGGGCAGGGTAGCGGGGAGCGCTGTTGTGAGTACAAGGTGTTCACGTGCATGCGTGTATGTGTGTGTGGTGCCCCCCTGACCACAGTGCCCTGGGCGGCCGCCCAGGTCACCCACCCCTAAGGCCAGCTCTACCAGGGACACCCGTGACATATTGCCTCGTCATCCAAGAACTTGTTGCTCAAGTCCAGCCATTTAACTCAGCCTGTAGAGGGTAATGGGAGCCTGAGATGTCCAAACTACAATGCTCATGAAGCACCACAGCAGTATTTTCAAATCAAACCATTTGGTTTTCAGTTTTCCACTGACAAGTTAAAATTTTCTGGAGGGCCATTTTCAACCAGCTCCAAACTCAGGCTTCATCTTCATACTGCTCCTTCACCCCTCTTTCAGAAGAGGTTAGTACTAATGGGACCACTAAAATGTCTTTGTGCATGTGGCTAGTGCAGAGGTTGCAACTGGCTATTCATGGGGCAGGAATTTTGCTTGCATCCTTCGTCTCCTTGTCCACCCACATCAGGAACCATCTTCTCTTAGCAATGCCCTATGGTGTATCTAGGATCAGTTGCATTCTGAGAAGCTCTTTCTGGTGGGAGGCAAGGGGAGATGGAGAATGTCATCATTTTCATATTATGTTTTAGTATTATAAAAGTAGGTACTTCCCAGTAAGAGGGGGGGAAACCAGTGAAACCAGCATTAAGAATCACCCCTAAAGTCAATTTCTAAAGAGTGCCCATGGCAACGAATACAATTTTGTCTGAACTCTGCCCAAAGCCATACCTCTACGAGGTGCCTGATCTTTTTGCTGGGGGGGGGTTGGATGATCTCTTAAAACAGGTTTTGCTGTACTCAGGGAATTGTAGGTTCTGTGATGTTACCTATCATCATTTTCAGTACTTCTGTGTCTAAACAGTTCAGAGTAACCAGGACCCGAATCCTACACACATGTACATCTTGCATTCTTCATGTGAGAAGTGAATTTCAGGTACAGAGTGGCATGTTAATAACAGATTATTAACTGTGTTGTGTTTTTGTAACACAGATTCATCTTCACACTAACCCAGATTTGCTTTTGTTG